TTTCTGTATAATTAGGATCATGCATGGATTTCTAATTAGCTTCTGTTTTGGCTTGGAGTACTCGGTAAGTTTTATGCTTTAGCATCCTTGCATGCGTGTGAGTGACTGCCATGAATAGCATGCTTACCATGAGGCTGTATGCTTGTGTAATATAACTGTCTGAATGCCTGTGGGTGAAGGTTGGGTTATTTGAATTGAAACAATTCATCAAATGTGTGTTTTAAGCCCACTAGATAGTGGCAAAATCATATTTTTCTAAGCCCACCCGAGGGTGGCAAATCCACGTCTTAACCTACTTGTGGGTAACACCATCAAACCACTTTAAAAAATAAACATGAAATGTTTTGTTCCAATTCAGACGATCCAGTCTATACTTGTATTTGACATTACACTAATTTTCTACTTCTCTCAAAAATCTTGAATTTATCAAGCACCTCATCTTTTGCATGCAAAAGATGTATATGACAGTACTTAGAAAAATCATCAATGAATGTTACAAAATATTTCTTACCTCCTCTAGTAGGGGTGCTATGCATGTCACATACATCACTATGCATAAGTTCAAGTAGAGATGTGGTTCTATCTCCTTTAGGAAAGTGCGAGATAATTTTAAATTGTACAAAAAATTTACATTTTTCAAACATGTCAATGTCATTCTTAGAAATTAAATTTAAATTAACTATATCAGGAATTTTCCTAGTATTAACATGACCTAAATGAGCATGCCATAAAGAAAGAGAATCAACAATATAAGCAGAAATAGATGTATTATTGATAATGTTAAGTTTGAACATTCATTGATACATGTAGCCATTCTTAACAAAAATCCTATCCTTAGACAGAACAAATTTGTCCGAATCAAATACCAATTTGAAACCATGCTTATTAAGCAGGCTTCTAGATACAAGGTTTTTCCTAACATCAGGTATATGATAAACATCACTAAGACTTAAGACTTTTCCAGATGTGAACTCTAAATCCACCGTCCCTTTGCCTTTGATAGCAGTAGTTGAAGAGTTACCCATGTAGAGAACTGTTCCATCACTCACTTGTTCATAAGTAGTGAAACGACTCTTGTCGTTGCAGACATGCCTTGTTGCTCCTAAATCAATCTACCAGTCACCAGCATCTTCGAGCATGTTCACCTCGGATATAACAGCCACGAACTTGTTCTTGGCATTTGATGCTTCTGGCTTCTTTTTGTATGACTGGCATTCATTTCTTAAGTGCCTTGGCTTGTCACAATGCCAGTAAGCGCCTTTCAGCTTCTTAGCATCTTTTTTGGGTTAGGGTTCACGCTTACGCTTCTTTTTGTTAAACCTCTTGCCATCATCCACCATGTGGATCTTGACAATCTGAGCCAATTGGTTATCTTTACCTTCAAGAAGCCTCGACTCTTCCTCAACTCGAAGGTGTTGAGCCAATTCCTCTAAAGTAAGATATTCCTTTTTGTGTTTTAAAGTTTTCTTAAAATCCTTCCAAAAGATAGTAGTTTCTCTATTATAAATGAAACTACAATAGATTCATCCATGTTCATATTCTTTTGTCGAAACTGACTCAGAATATGTTGGATCTCATGGAATTGTTCCATAATAGGTTTTGTATCAATCATAGTAAAGCGCATAAAATTATAAACAAGAAATGTCTTACTGGTGGCATCCTTGGTGAGGTACTTTGACTGTAATATGTCTCATAGTTACTTTGCTGTTTCTAGATGTTGATACACATCGAACAAAGAGTTTGACAGTGCATTTAGAATGTGTCCTCGACAAATGTAGTCATCATTCTCCCATTTGGTTCTGGTACGGGTTTGCTCCATAGTCTCATCTTCTTGCTCCACCGAATAGGGGGTAGTTAGCACATAGACCACTTTGAGAGTGGTGAGCAAAAAGTGCATCTTCTTTTGCCAGCGTCGGAAATTTCCTCCATCAAAACGGTCAAGCTTCATGAAATCTTGAGTCATTTTCTGAATAGACATCGCCATATCCAACTGTTGTCTTTAGATCATTGGAACAATTTGTCTTGAATTCTTCAATTGGTGATATTCGGGTCTTCAAGACTTGGCGATGAACTTGTCTATGTAGAACAGAAATATGATGCTTCAAGTAGCGTTACTTAGCCGCTTTCCTAAAGACAATATTTGCACCCAACAAAAGGTGTGCAGGGGGTTACAACAAATTCGCCTCCAGGATACAATGAAGCTTGATCTAAAGATTAAGTCTATCGACGTCTGCACTGACGACAATAGATCAGAATACTCTTGATATAATTAAAAAAACCAAGACACTGATAATCAAATCTGCAAAACTTGATTACCAGTAAGAAAAACAGAAATTTGCTTTAGAAACTCTCGATCGAAAACTCAAAATCAAGAAAGAGAAAAAGAGAGAGAGAGAGAGAGAGAGAGAGAGAAAATTACAAGAATGCTTCTAAATTTTTTTTAAAGGGAATGAAATAGCTGATTTCGCAGCCTATTTATAGGGCCTTGATGCACCTGATTGAATGGTCATGTCCCTTGATTGAATCTGATCAGATTTGACCGTTGGATCGACGATCTACGGTGCAGATCATTCTCACACCGAATAAATGCCTTGACTAATCACACCTAATCACGATCGCGTGTCATCTCATCCATACGATCGCGCGCATCTCCAATCAACGGTTATGATCAAATCGCTCCAAATTGGACATACAACCGTTCGATCAGTTGGTTAACTCACCGCTGCCAACGGACGCCACGTGGAGCTGACTGTATTCAGCGTCACCCATGCTACGTTGGATCCACATGCTCCAACCTGTCCAATGCAAATAGGAAAGCACCCTCATGGCGCCTTGCGTCGATACGTCCGTGCAAAGTGCATCGTCAAACGTCACACAGCCCACTGCCCACACCACACACGCGTGTGCGAATGGTGCAAAGCACTAACTTTCACCTTACAATTTCATATTCAAAGGAATATTCCATGTAGCACTTTATTAAGTGCTTCATGTTTTCCTCTTTTTCCGATGTGGGACGAAGCCTCAAGCTTATTTCATGCTTTCTAAAGAAAAACATGAAAGGTTTTGAAAACACCCAAAAATAAATTATAGATTTTAAAAACCATTTTGAAAATTCCCCAACAATCACTACAACAAATCTAGAACAAGACAATAGCAATGGCAACAATGGCCAAGCTAGCAGCCCTAATGATCTAATAGAAGAGTGTTTAACAAGTATAGACCCAGACAACACCTTTCCACTCTCTTCAAAATTAGAAGATTTACTTATTCTATGCCTATTCAATGGATCAGAACTTTAGTTGTCCTTCAATACAGTAAGGACATAACCCATTTGGGTGTTTTGCAAGCAAAATCGAAATTATATATAATAATAATAAGTAATTCTAAAAGACAAAGAAAGACTCCCTCTGGCTATGGTCTCTGATGTATAAAAAAAAAAACAGGAAAAAAAATGGAAAAAAAGAAAAAGAAAAAAAGAACAGGCTACATATGAAGAAATGGTAGCAGTATGGAAAACTTTTCATCTTTGTGCATCAGCCTTCTAACACTTCGCACTTGAGTTCCTAGTGAATACAAGTAATGAAGATAATGAGTACACAAATACCTAAAGAAGTCCAAAAAAATGAAACTGGGCAAATCTTTCTGAAAAATCACTATATGGTGCAAAGATAATTGATAATTGATAAACATACCATTTATATGAACAAGAGAGCTTGCAAACCATTAGCGAGAATTGAGGAATACATAAACAAAATTACTCACTTTATTGATTGTCATTTCTTGCTTCTACAATTTTGAGGATCATTTATATTCTGACTGTTCTCTGAAGCAACTGGAGCAAATATACCATTTAGATGAATGAGAGCTTGCAAACCATTTGAGAGAGATAAGAAAAAATAAAACAAAAAGTTTACTCACCTCGATTGATTGTCATTTCTTGCTACTACAATCTAGAGGATCATTTATATTCTGACTGCTACTGTCTTTGGAATCAATGCATGGCGTAAGAGGTGGGAAAGAAGGCACAGCCCGCAATATGAACTTTCGACCACTTCTCAAGCCTGCTGAGGAGCTAGATCCAAGCTCATGCAAGCGACGATGGGGAGGAGAAACACGCTTTTTATTTGGGGAAGTAACTTTCACTGCCTTGAGAGGGGTAGAAGTGTCCTTCAGTATCTCAGGCGTGTCATCTTCCGGTATATCGTGATGCTTTTTGTCAGATTCAACTGCTCCGAGAAGTTTGGTCCCACCAAATTGAGCAACAGGGGTGATTGGTGAACCACGCCAATGAAAGGAACTCACTGATGATAAATGGCCACTTCTAGCACATAATTGGGCTCTTGAAATAGTTGTCCAATCACTAATTTTTGATGATGCCGAATATGCCATGGCTGTTGAGGGAGGATTAGGCAGTGTGCTGAGGTCACACATATTGGAAAGCCCATCATATCTTGGTGACAATTCATTCACTGTCTCTGCATTGCTAAAATCCAATTCCTGACAATAATAATCTATACCTTGAATGTCTTTCCTAGCTTTCAGTAGCAGGTCATGGTTATTATCAGAAGTTTCAAGTGATTTTGGCAAGGTAAGATTGGATTCAGGTGACGGGAGGCATCTTCTGGTAGAAAACCGGGATTTTGGTGCACAGTTTCCATGGCTGGATGGTTAAAGCGGGACGAATCGTTATATAATAATAATAATAAATCCAAAATAAATCAAACCATCACATTGAAAGGAATCTTACTCCAAGAATTGGAATGATGGTGTCGGAGGTATGAAGTTGTCAAGATTACACAGCTCAGTCTGCAATAAACCATCTCGACTTGCCGCCATTTCCAGCTCATCAAATGTGCTTTCAAATCTTTCGTTGACAGGTCCTTCGCTCAAAACATCCTTGGTCATGCCATATTCTGGAAAAGCAAATTTCTTGGTAGCAATTAACAGAAACCAGTCCAAATAGAAATTAAAGGAAATTTCTAATAACTGGTGTATGAACTGCTATTCTGAAACCCTCAGTATAATATAGATACATATGCACACACACATGTGAAGCTCAAAATTGGATTATTATGCTCAAGTCAAAGATGATAAACTCTTATTATAGATGAGAAAATTTTCAAGTGCAGTTATAAGAACTTGATTATTGGTAGGTCAAAATTAAAGGTGATTATTATTTATTTTTTAATTTTATTTTTTTGCATATGCCCATCCCTTCACCCACCACCACCCTAACCGTTCCGTTCCCTGCTGCCGCCTCCCCCTCCCCCCATCAATTGCTGCCCTCTTCCCCCTCCCTCACTTGGAAAACATTTACCGTCCAAACAAACAGAGCATAAAGACGTTATAGTGTTGAGTATAATGGCACAAGAGACTATGGGAGGGATTTGTGTGAAATATTACCTTCCTTCTTACCATAGACATTTTTACATCCTTCGCACCGACATCCACTAGAGCATCCGACATTAGCCTTTTAAGACCAGAAGAAAATAGGCCCAATAAGAATGAGTGCAAAAGAAGAAAGCATGATCCCATAGATAACAGATAAACCAATACGAAACACAAAACCTGATAGCACTCGCAGTATTTTTTCACACACATCGACTTCTTGCAATTGCACCCTCTTTTGTGCCTTTCTGAGGATGGTGTTGAATAATTCCCATCCTCCTGCAGGAAGCTTTAGATATTAGTGTCAGCGTGTAAAAAAGTATCTCAGAAAATTTAAGTTAAGTTGTGTGGGTTCAATACCCCAATACTGTTTGCAGAGGAGTCAGTGAGACCCTGTACAATCTTTGGGGCAAATGCAAGTGGATTTCGGAATTCAATTTGTTTCCGAGTATCAAGAACTGTATCTTCATATTCAGGTCTATTAAAGCACCCTTGGCAAGCACAAGGTTCAGCACAATAGATTCCAGCAGCAAAACAGTCACAGTAACTGCAACAAGACAGGTTACATTGATTCACAACAGCAGTGTAAGGCCAGCTAAAACAAAAGTTCAAGTCACTTACAGTTTCAAACATTTAGTCTTCTTGCAATTGCAACGCTTGCAACCATCACCATCATTGGTGGCTGATGCCTTCTTCCTGGAGAACTTCAACAAACAGATTGATCCCAGTAAAGAAATACTGCAAACCATTGAAAGATTAAATTATGAGAACAAAACAAGTAGGCTCGCCTTTTCTTTTTGGGGCTTGATAGGTTCGACGACTCAACAGCATGAGCATGTTTGGAGATGGACTTCCTTTTGTCACAGAGTGTTGTCTCGTACTCAATTTGCTTCAATGGTGCAATATCAGTTGAAGATTTCACAATTTGGAGATATTGAGAAGGAAGATAACTAGTTGCGACTGAGACCTGAGTTTCATGACTACAATCTTCACTGCTCACTGGAAGTTTTTCTCTCACATTAGATAAAATTGAGCTATTCTTTGTGCTTTCTGGTTGATGACAGTCCATATTAGATACCAACTTCCCATCTTGTACATTCAGGTAACCTTTCTCGGCTGATTGCATGCTTCCACTAACACCACAACTCATTGGCTTAGCATTAACAATTGTATTTAAGTGTAAACCAATACCCGATGGCTTGGAAATTGATGATCTAGGATTTCCATTGTTTCTAGGAGGAATCACAGAAATTATGGGTTGGGTCAAGTTAATCAGATGCCTGCCACTGGAAGTTGCACTTATTTCTAGACTAGATGATTCAAAAACCTCCATGTCTGCAAGATTAGCAGGTAAACTTGAACTAGTTACAACGTTTGATGAGCCCCTTGAACCAGGGCTGTTTTCCACAATATTCCCTCGAGCCTCTTCAAACCGAAGACAGCGTCTACGCATGCCACTATAGTGTTGACCCTACATTAAGTTTTCATTATTCTACTGCAAAAAGAAATTTCCTAGAAGGGTTTGACGATGAAAAACTAAAATATATATAGATGGCTGCATGTTTTGTCTGCATCAACATTGTAAAAAAAACAATCCTTCTCATATACTAAATAAATAACCATAATGATGCAGCTGCAAATAAGGAACTATGTAGCACCAATAGGGGGAGAAGGAGGAGAGAAAGAGGCAAAAATAAAAAGCTACAAAAATTAAATCCCAAGTAAACATAGAACCTAATAAATATATAGAGAAAATATAGTGCATAATTGAAGAGGAAGAAGAAGAAGAAGATAAAGAAGAAAGGGAAAAAAATATTTTTGCCCTAAAAATTACCTCACGTGAGGGTCTTATGTTAATTTTTGTTAGCTAATTTAACACTAAACTAGCGAAAGAGCCACATTGGACTAAACCGAAAGTGCAAGAGTAGCTTCAGATTAAGCCACTTAAAAAACAAACATATTTATCTACACAACACAAGATAGTAAATATCTCTATTATCAGAATCTTACGATTCGCAATTCGATTCACAATTTTTTACAAAATCGATACGAATCTATGGGTGAATCTATTTTGGAAGTGAATCTCTAGTGAATCACACAATTCACAATTGATTCACGATTTGATTCACTTTTTACAATTCATGCAATTTTTGAAATTATTGTGTCCGACATATTTTTGACTCTTTTTTTTCTCCTTCTTTTTAGTAAAAATGACATAATACAACTTCTAATAGTGTTTAATACCAAAATAACCAACATATATACATAATTTGTTGTTATTTTAGTGATCATAGAGTTTTTAATAGGGTCCAATCAGATTTAGTTAGATCTAACATATTTTTAACATTTCTTCTCATTTTTTTCTCTTTAAAAAATCGTAATATATCTTCTAAAGATGTTTAAGATTAAAGTTACAGCTCTCCATTGTTGATTTTCTTGTATTCTTATTTGTAATCGTTGAGCCATATTGGAAATTGTAGTAATTGTCTGTGTACTAAGAGCCATAGTGTTATTATGCAGATTGACTAACAGGGAAGCCTTATATGGGAATGTACGTCTCCAACTGCACAATTTTATAGTTTCTGTTCATATTCAATAACCTATTCCACAAACCTAACACATTTTCATAGGTGTTTTAATACATTGTATATGTATCATTGTTTGGCAGGAGATAGGAGATGTACTCTATTGTTTTGGGTGGAGATAGGGGATGAACTCCATTGATAATTAAGTTGGCCAGAGTGTCCAGGGTGACGATGAATTATCTATTGCTATTTTATTAAATTGAATATTATATGTGTGAAGTCAGTTATACCTTTTAAAATGTTTTATGCTTTACAATAAAAGATTCTAAATAATTCTTTCTTATTATTTGCTCACTGTTACTTAGAAAAGTACGTATGCTTATTGTCTAAATATCAATATCGTTGTTAATTATTGTTATTTTAGAAATTAATAGTTTGTCTATTTGGTTATTATCTTTATTAAGAATGGTTGATACGAAATATCTAAAAAAGAAAAAAAGGTAAGATGTTGATCTTACATAGGAACCTTTGTTAACTTCTTACCTATTAAACTATGTGATTATCATGCAAAATAATATTTTTATTGATTTAAGTCTAAATATTTTATATGCATAAGATATATTTAACATCTAAATGTGTAAATATATGTTTTTAAGTAATTTAGAAACAGTGACCGAATCTTTACGATTCATGATTCGATTCGATTCGTGATTCAGTACGAGGCCATTTCGATTCACGATACGAATCCCGATTTGACAACTATGGTAGATATAACTTGGAAGAAACTAGACAAATATTAATTTAGTTATACCTTGGGATCATGCAAGACAATATTGTCAGCAATTTTATTTGAGGCTTCTCCAGTGATCTCACTGCAATCTTCATATCCCTGACTGGGCTGCAAAGATTCTGGCAGAAACTGAGATGCACAACCTAATTCATCCTCATGAACAGCTCCAGCATGCTGCAACTTAAATTCTTGTGATCTATTGCAACTAAGGCATATTACTTGTAATTTAAATGGATATTACTTCTAATTTAATGAAACAAAAAGGATCAGCAGTTACCTGGGCCACTGAAAGTTCACACTGTTGTTCTACAGACAAACCAGATTCAACTTTTGGGCATTCACAAGAAGGCATCTCACTGCCTCCCTGCTTTGCATCAGTTTCAACAGGTTCATCATTGAATGATGACTTTCCTTGAAAGTCCTGCCCAGCCAGCTCTGGCGTGGCTGGAAAAGCACCCATCAATATCTCAGCATCTTGTCTAATATCATTTTCGTCATCAAGTTTTGAATCGGTAAAATCTTTTATTGATTGAGGCATATCATCATCAGATTGTATCAAACTTAAATTGGCTGAATGTGCAGAGTTTTCACAATTGACCTCCACAGTATCAGCCAAGTATTTGTCAATACATTCCGGGGGACTAGCAGCCTGGTCTGGTACAGAGCCCTTAGTATCACATTCTCTCTCAACACAAGGGATCAACGTACTGCTGCTTTGGGTTTTAGATTTTTCAAGTTCATTAGAACCTATCTCAAATTTATTGTCGCTAATATCCTGTTGGCATAATTCTTCACAAGACAGTTGAGGGCATTGAGACCTAAGAAAAACATTCTCACATGATTAATTCTCAAGTCATAATCTACGTTATTCAATGTCAAACCAACAGGCCAACCGTAAAATTCAAGACAATCAAACCTTTTCAAATAAGTTGTTTCACAAAGAGGATTAAGATGAGGTGATGTGAATACAATAGGAGGAGAATTAAGACTTGGGAAGCCTGGTACCACAGGTGCTGCCTTCACAGGCTTTATAGGGGACAGGTTGCTAATGTAACCAAATATAGTTGAATCCTGATACCATAGGAAACAATGAGTAAGAATTCAGCCTTTTCGAGCTTTTAAATGAGCACCGGTACACCACAAGTAAAAAATAGCAGTCCATTAAACAATGCTTACCGTATATTCTCCCTACAATGATACTTCCAATGAGACACCTACATAGTTTAATTTTTTAAATCCCAAGAAGAAAATTCGCCCTTTGGAAATCTAATCTTCTATTATATAAAGCACACAACTCAGTTGGTGTGTACTTTGTCACATCATTTTGATTTCCAAAAATAAGTACAACAATACTAGATTTTCTTGAAATATTTAGCTTTACCTAGCAGTTACTTTAAGGATTAAAAAGTAAAATCAACCAACAAAAACTGGCGTTCAATTGTCCACTACTCTCTCCACTTTCAACCCAGGATCTGCCAGATCAATTTCAATTGCACACGTTAGTGTGCTTAGGTTTTCCACTTCCACTGTAGATGATTCGATTTCTAAAGAGTTGTAACTCTGTTGGGGGAGTGAAGAACAGTAGCTTTCAATGTCATATTCCTTTCTCCATTGAATCCAAAGCAAACAACAACAATCAACACAACATCATATTGTACAATTATTTGGCAAAGTTAGTCAAGTTTTTTTCTTCCATACAATTAAACAAAGAAAATGTAAATCACTTCTGATTTCTCTAAGAAAGTATGATTCCCCATTTCTTATTCACCAAATAAATCATGAGAATCAACTCAATTAAAAGTGTTGTACAGATGATAAAGAGTAAAGACAATTTTCAATTGGGTTTAGGAACTAAACAATTTCATCTCACATTCCATTCCACAACTTTCACAATACTCCCCAAATCAACTCCACCCCAAAAAAACAAAACCAAAAAAAAAAAAGAGTCAAAATCAAAATCACTAAATTCAACATGTAAAACCCTAAAACCCATAAATAAAAGACAACCAAAACATGAATGAGATCATTAACAAATACAAAATGGGGTCCAAGATTGACTATAACTGTATATAAATGATTATAAAAAAAAAAAAAAAAACTGAAAAATTAAAGCAAGAGAGAGGGAATGGGAAAAATTGGTATACGGGGGCTGCAACAGAGTCTGATGGCAAGGTAGTGGCGGCTGCAATGGAGGTGGAAGTCTTGACTTTTTCAGGGGAGTCCATTGCTTCAAACCCTAACCCTAATGTACTGTTTCTGCATCCCCCCTCTCTCTCTCTACTTTCTCTCTCCTCAAACTAGTTTTGATGATAAAAATGTCAACTTTTTTTCTTTCTTCTTTTTCTAGAAGCCTCTGAAAGAAGACTTTTTTTTTTTTTTTTTTTGCAAAAAGGAAATGTCTGTTGGAATGAAATAAATATAAATAAATAAATAATTTGTTTAAATCCCATGGACTTTGAGCGGGAAAAAAATAGTTATGACTAATATTTATGTTGGGCTTGGCCCATTACGCCATCTGAAGCTTAGGGCCCAATTTATGTGTATTCTTGGGCCTTCGTGTTTTGTTTGGCAATTTTTAACAAGAAATATAATAAAAAAATTGATTTTAATTCTATGTGAACCGAATAAATAGTGAGAAAATAAAATGTAATTTATAATACTCAATGTTTATCATATATATTAACTAGCCTATGCCTGAAGATACGGTATAAATAATGTTAGGATTAGAATATAATTGTAATCCCAATACTATTTAAATTTATTTTTTAATTTGATAAAATCACAAATTTATTACAAAATTTTGGAGTTATCACAAAATTACTCACGAAAACTCGCTTTTGCTTATATAATATATAACTAAATAGATAGATGTGCTTGGAATGCATACAATTTTCACTGGCATACATATAATTGTTTATATAATTATATGAAAATTGTATGTATGCCCATAATGTCCTAATGTATTACGGACATACATGCATTCTACGGAAATATGTGTAAAATATATTAAACAAAAAGGAGAAAATAAAGAAAAAAACAAATAGAGAGAAAAAATGAGAGAAAATAAAAAAAAATAAAAAGAAAAGAGAGAAGAAGGTGGGATCATGAGATCATAGAAGGATGGGTGAGAAAAGGAAAAAGTAAGAGAGAGAAGCGGAAAAATAGAAAATGTACATGTAGGATATTTTTTGAAAAATATATCTCAGCCGTTGTTTTATAAACTGAATAGATCTGAGCCGTTCAAATGTCCTAGTAAGTCAAATTTGTGTAGGACAAATTCAAAAATCATTCTGCTTTATTAGATAAATAATAGAATTTAGGTTGGTTGAATTCTTTTAGACTGTGTTTAGATTGTAAATTTATATATAAATTTGAAAAAGATTCACCTTTTCCTTTTATCTGGTCAAATACTCATAAAAATCATGGTCCAAAACTATCTTAGTTGTGAGAATTTTTAATTAGACCCTGTCCAAATTTAATTCTTATAAATTTTATCTCAATCTCTTATCAAATTTAATTTTTTTATCAGTGAAGGGCAATGGTTAAATGTTAGATTAACATATTTTCTTTTATTATTTTGCATTAATAAGATTATATTTGTCTCCATATCCAAGTGTCCATTTGACTATATTGGGCCTAATTTTGAAACAACACCACCAACTTATATATGTTTATAGGCTATGAGAATGACAATTGAAGTTGTGCCCAACAATATAGATAGGTCATGGGTAAGTAGCCCCATTCCGATGTCCCGGGCTTTAGCCAGCTGGCATTGGGCCTTGTTAAATTTTAGAAAAGTCCGAGCAAGAATATATGGAAGTTCCAAATTGCGAGATTCTATTTCAACTTAAAATATGTTTAATTTAAATTTATAAATTTTAATTCTTATTATATAAATTTATTAATAAGGACAACTCATATTAAATCTGAAAAGAAATTTTTTTTTCCCCTCATGGTACACTCTAATCAGTTATTACTATTCAAATCTCTATATCTTATTTCTCAAGAGATCAAGGTTATTTATTTTTCTTCCTCCCTCCAAAACTCAATTCCACCCTACCAAAATTCATCGTCATCATCAACATCATTATTTTTTATTATTTTGAAACCTTAAACCCTAGAAGAAAGTTTGAACAAAATCAAATAATAGATGAAAGTAATAATCAAAATAGTTTTTTGAAGCATCCCATCAAAAAGGAGGCAAATATTCATATAAAGGAGTTTCTCAATTTTTGTAGAGCGCTACCAATTATTTTCTATATCGTTTTTTTGACAAAAATTAAATGGCCCAATAGTTAGATTAATAATAACATATTATTGGTGTTGTTCTTATTTTATCATTTAAATAGTACATTATTTAAGAATTACTCTTTCTTGTTAGTGTCTAATGCTTATGTGCTTATAAGTTTGGTTTTTACTTTTTTACGAGCATTCTTGTGGATAATTTATGATGTAAATTTTTTTTCCTGTATTGAAAAGGTTTATATTGCTTGTGTAAAAGTTTGATTTTTTCTATGTTTATAATGTTTATGTGCTTATAAGTTTGACTTTTTTCCTGTATTTGAGAATTATTTTCTATATTAAAAAGTTTTTGAAATAATTTAATTTTTTTAGTTTGTTTATTATTTATTACTTCTCTTTTGCCTAGGGATTCTATTGGTACGAAAACAATATACGTCCAATTTCTTAATACACACTATTATATTATTTAGAATTATAATTTATTCTTAATACACCTTATATTTTTTTTCTAAATTACATTTCAAGGTATACCCAAATAATAAACATATCAAAAATCTTAAATTCCAATGGCAATTTCATAGTTGCTAGAACTGTGCATCAGCGAAGGAATTTTGATCCTCTCACCATTGAAGTTTTGGCTGCACGGGAGAGATTAAATTTTGCACTGAAGCTATAGCTTTGGAATATTGTTCTTGAGGGTGATGCACAGCAGGTCATTTGTATGATATCGAAAGAGACAATGGTGGCTGAAATATTTGGAGTCTCTAGCATTATTCAATGTTCAATTCAATTGAAATCTTGAGAATTACAAATGGTGTTATCAATCAATAAAAATATTTATAACTAGCCGTTAACCCCATATACTCCACATTATATTTTTAAAATATATATATTTGATAGTACAATGTATTATAAAAGAATAATATTAATTTTAATTTAAAGTTAAAATTAAAATTAAAGTATAATTTTAATTATTTATTTTGATAATATTGGTGCTATCGTTTTATAAAATTATTACTTGAATACTTATATATATATATATATATATATATTAATTTTAGTTAAATTATTTATGTCTTTTGATAATTTTAGTTCTACCGTATTATAAAAGTGTAATTATCATGTAATAATTTTGTATGATATATATTAAATTATAAAATAGTAAAATAAATACTCATTCTGATATTAAAAATAATAGTTAAATTAGAAGAAGAACTAGTAACATAAATTAAAAGTAATTCTAACTTATTTAATTTTCTCTTATATTCATTTGGAAAATAAAAATATGTAAAAATAGAAATTATATAAAATTTATTAAAAAATAAAATATAAACATATTGTAGTTGGATTATCATATAATGGTTATATATGATATATATATATATATATATCTGACCACACTACCAAACAGGTACCCAGCTGGAGAGCACCGGCAAAATAGATTAAGCTCAAACGACTTGCAACAGAAAGAAGAGTTTTCGGCGGTGGCTCGTCCACTCGGGGGCACTCCGAAGATCAAGGCAGAACTCAATATCTCTCAAAGATAACCAATAGTGCTTAACTCACTAGACAGAAAAAGCATACCTTAGACCCATGAGGATGCCTCCATTTTATAGCCAACACAATCCTAGTCCCAATAGAAGCCTAGTCTTATGGACTCAGGATTACTGCTAATCTTGGACTCCCAGTAAAATTAGGATAAACTCTCTAAGAGTCTTATCTTAATACAAACTGAAGTCTTTTCTCATTCTAGGACTCTTGTCCCTCATCCAAGTTGAGTTCCCTTTTCATTCTAGGACTCTTGTCCCTTATCCACTTATCTCGGATTCTGATATCTTCGGAGATAATCTCGGCCTTGCCGAGATCACCTCGGCGTCACGACCAGGACACGTGGCACCTCGACTAATACGTCGGCGTCACCTTGCCACGTGTTGGTACTCAGAAAATATATCCCCACAACTGCTCCCTAGGTTCTATTACCTCGGACCTCAGCATTCTGAGGTGATGGAACCTACACTGTTCGTTCATCTGTGTCCCTCTATCCGAGATTAAACTTGCCGACTTCAAAGTTCCCTGGACGCCAGAAATTACTTTAGAAGATAAGCTTGTTCTTGCCAGCGATAGTACCGACGACATTAATGTCGGCGTTGCACTCAGTACCGCCCTATTTCTCCCAGGTGATCTTGAGCGGAATGCCAAGATGAGTAAGTATGAGAACTATGCTTTTATGCTCCAACGTTCTGTCCAAATAAGTGTCTTTACATGGAAACTTGTCTTCTCTTTTACTTTGTAAAATTTTGTAATAATTTTTGCCCTGTGCTCTTTCAGGCTATTCAACATGCCCACTTTCTCTCTATGCAAGCTTTTGAAAATAGGGCGAAGTTGGCCGACATGAAGAGGGAGGTTTCTGCCCTTAAAAAGGAGAACAAAACTCTTCAATCAAAAATGAAAAAACTGGAAGACCAGGCTGAGGCTGCCACCAAAGCCCAAACCCTAGCCGAAGAAAAGGCCGAATCTGCTGAGGCCATCAAGAAAGTTGCCGAGGCCGAGAAGAGAGAGGCCGAGGACAAAAAAGCCCAAGCTGAAAAGGAACTTCAGGAGGCCTTGGCCACTAAAGACGCTGAAATCAAAGAGGCCGACGAAAAAGCCTATGCCCAAGGAATGACCGATGTTACAGAGGAATACAAATTACAAGTTAGGCAGGCATGCAACAGGAGCTTTTCCCTTGGTTGGATTTCCCTGGCCAAAAAGCTCAATATTCCTGAAGATTCACCTCTGCGCAAGGCCGAAGCTATTTCTTTCCCATTCCCTCCTCCTCCTCTACCTCCAAGTCAAGCTGAAGAAGAATCTGAATCTGAGTCTGAAGATGAGGAGGAAGGTAAGGATGAGGCTTTAGTAAGGAAATCCAAGGAGACTGTGGGGCCTAAGTCTCCTTCTCTGAATGAGCAGGTCTTGGACCTGACTCAAGATGATGATGGTGATGCAGTCGCCAAGGAAACTACTCCTAAACAGGCCTCATCTGACGTTCCTCCAGCTGAAAAAAGTCTTGATGAAATCCTTGCGCAGATTGACGCCGAAATCGAAGCGGAAAATAC